CGAAGGCAACGAAGCGCAACTAGAACAGCCAACATTCTAGCATTAAATTGTTCATCAACTTATAGCCAATGCCTTAACAGTTGGTGTCGTGAACGAAGCCCTTTTGCAAAAGGAGTTGCGGACCCAGGCGGAATCGAACCACCCCCTTCAAAGCTGAACGCGACGTGTTACCCACTACACCACCTGTTTCTATGCTCCAAGATCAGCCTGGCAGCACACCTACTCCGCATCTGATTTTCAGGGAAGAATATACCTCCTTTCCTTTGGTATTCCCCTGCAGGCAGTATAGAATCTTTTTTTTTAATGTTGCTGGCTTTTTGCGAGTATTTTGCGACAATCAATATGAGTATTTCGTGTTAGTATTGATAATGGGATGCTTCCATGCGTAGTGGTTCAGATAAGCTATGCCCTAAGCCAATGCAAATTATACGGCAGTTCAAAATACATCATGGATGACAGGACGAAAAAGTTGTAAGTTTGACATTTTTTTATCAGTAAAGTGCTGTAGAACAAAGAAACACTTTTCAAATACATACTTTTCAGAACGCAATCCTATCGGAAAAATTTACACATCAACGAGATTACTCGGAGGCTACTCCGTTAAGCAAAAAATTATAACTAACATTTGGAAAGTGATCGATCCAACATCGACTCCTTCAAACCGGCTGGTCCACTAGCATCGATGACCGCAGGCAATGGGTATTTCGGCGCTTTGCTATGTACCCTGCAACATTTATCAATAGTGCAACACACACGTAATACAAGAAGCCGTCCGAACAAATAAAAAGCGATTTTAAGAAGAGAACAGGAAAAGATTTCCCTTTTCGATAATGCCCGATTCCATTTTTGTAATAAAATGTGGTGTTTTTATCAGTTAGTATATTTCAAAATAATTTTTTGCGTGTTATTTCCTAAATGTACATACATATATTTATTTCTGTATATGTTTTTTTGAAACACTTGGATCGGCTGTAAATCTCTGCCTGATTCTCCAATTACGTACTGGCAACTCTTCCAGTTGCTTTGGATAATGCTGCATCATTTGGTGGTCAGCCTTCCGATGATCCTAGCATATGTTCCCTCCCCAACCTTAGCGATTTCTCTGATAAAAGCCTCCGGCTAAATGTGGCGTTTAAATTCAATTTTTTGTATTTCTCTCTCTATTTCCTAAGAGAAAAGCCATGTGACTAATGGCTCAGAACCCACTTACCCGCGAAGTGGCCAATGCCTTCCCAGGCCTACACGGTGCTTCTAGGCACAGAGCTGTTTTTCTTGACAATGCAGCATTATAATGAACTTACACAGGATGATGATATCCCTCTCCCAAATCAATCGTTGCTCCTCGTGGCAGTGAATGCCAATCCAGCCTGCGTGTTTCCAATTTTAAACGATCCAGTCGTTTCACAACCTCCGGATATCTGAAATACAGCAACAGTAATTGTATGCGTAAAACGCTACTCCAATCCTAGCTTTTCACTGAAACTGTGTATTTTTTGCGAATTTTTCCTTAACTAACTAGTGTCATATAATAGATCAAATAATGACTGATGGTTTTTGTTAAAAGTAGGTTAAAAAACAACGGCGTTACTATGACGCAATACCCCTGTCCCTGGTTCAAACTTTGGACATCCTATCCTCGTTAAATTTTCGCTATCTTTGTAATCTTTGATCCCAGGGGTATAAAAGCACTCCTCGCCATCGCCGTATTTGAATCTATTATATGACGTTAGATATTCCTCCCAAGAGCAAATAAAGCGACCATTTTTCAGTACTACTATGCAGAGTTCTATTTTTTCAGTTCTACTGCAGAATAACGAATAACAAGACTGCTGAGAAATTAACTGTGTCTCAATCAGCTATGGAATGAAACATATCCAGTTAAACTGGATATTTTGCAAAACATATCCAGTATAACACTGTTCATCCACTCTGACACAAGCGATATTATCAAAGCAGTGCACGCAAGGAAGATGAGCTGGGCTGGTCATGTGGCAAGATTGGAGGACAACTGAATGGATGAAGTGGGTTTATGATGAATCTCATGCAATGTTAAACGAACGCTCAGAAGGCTCCAGGAGGATAACAAGCCGTTAGCAACTTTACTGATCGAGGAATACAGTAATGAAACATCAGCTAACAATGGTATAAAAATAAGGTAGTACT